CTGCAATAACTGTTTGATTGCAAACTTGACCCTTTCTTCTTCTCAGCCTGAGCTAGACATTTTTAAACAGGCACTCCATTCCCAATCCTCCTTTGCAAAGAATTACATCAGATAACAAAGACTTCTCTGCCACTCATTGTAAGCCTTCTTCTGGAGATCTGTTCTAAGAGGCACTGTGTAAAAAGGTTTTTATGATGAATTCAGAACTACTATCATGTTAAGAGCACCAATTTATAAAGAAGAATTCATTGGTTAAGATCTGAAAAAATAGTTTCTCAGGCCCTACTGACCCAGTTTTCAACAAAAAAGAATCAAGTGATGCAAATTAAGTTTTGAGACAGTGTTATGCAGTCTGAGAAATTTGTAAAACTGTGTTTTGTGGTAATTTCTTAATAGAAGATTCAATGACTACTTAATTCTCCCTTATGCAAAAAATCTGATTTCTTTATATTCGACAGGTTTATCTTTCACAGGCAGTGATAAAATACACAATTCATAACAATGAAAGGTTCCAACAGCAACATGGCAATAAAATTAATTTGAAAGTACTAAAGGATACTTAGATTTTGTTCTGGTAAAATGCAATACTCTCTTCCTTTCATCTGATTAAGAAGTTGTAAAAATGTGCACACCTTCCATGATAGGATGTATGACACCAAGAGCCTTCCTAGATTTACTAGAAACAGACTAAAGGAGACAATCAGATATTAATATAAAACGTCTGGTCTTCTTCAGTAAAAAAGAACATGCTTCTCGCAACTGTTACTGCACATATTTTGCTTTCATTTTTATATGCTTCGATATAAATGCATCAGGTGTGAAAATAAATATTTTAAATAAATTGTAGTTTAAGTTAAAAATAATTTTAAATTAGTGGCCAGAGAGAGAACATCACTGCGGTGTTATCTTTTGCCTCTGAAGATAGGAAAAACTTCCCACAACAATACATTTAACGAACCAGAACACTTGGAATTAAAGTTTTCAGGGCACTCAAAACACACCAACTTTCACATGCATTGTTTTCAATCCTCTTCAGTCTCTATCAGTTCAACCTCACTCAGAAGACTCTGGGGCTCTTTTTTACCAAACTTTTCCAGACAGCCCTGGAGGGCTTCGGGCAGAATTTAAACAATTTCAGGATCTTTTATTTCCGATTGCTCTATGGCACTGCAAAACAAAAGTGACGCTTTCTATATCAAAGAGGAGCATTCTGCCCCCCCCAAATGTGTAGGATTTTTAAAAGTGAAAGTTAGAAAAATATTCTTCTTCATCCTGACATATTTTCAATCCTCTTAAAACAATCTCAACAACTATATATAGTATGAAATTAGCTCTCGCCTATTACCCTTGTTCCTACATAGGATTTTCTAATGTGTCTCACCAGTAATAAATTGTAAACGAGGCTATGACTCTAAGAGTAGACAGTGTGTTTCATGGGTATTTAAACAACAGCATTAAGTACTATAGGAATCTGTGGAATGTGGAGTGCAGATTTATGTGTCTTAACAATTTCTTTACTGGTTTGTAATAAGCCAGCAAACTAACACTTTATTTTTATATTAATTTGGCCTCAGAAGTAGAGTATACTGGAGCATGACAAGAACAACAAAAATAAACTGGCATATACTTAATAACTGTAACAGTGAATTGCCTCCAATACTAAAATATTTATCGAAACTGGGGGAAAAAAAACCTAAAAAGAATTACCCTCAACAGCCTGCTACCAGCTCTTTAACAGTGGGCAATGTAATGCCTTAAGGTACCTCAAACTGTCTTTCATTTTCTAGACTTAATGGCTGATTGCAGAAATCAATGTTGCCATTAGTAACAGAGTATTTGTTATGGCATGATTTCCTCTGTTGTTAGGCTTGCAGAATGATTACAGTATTAGCGAGGTGCTTTCTTTATAAAGGGCTGAAGATATAACTTTCAATTTACTATCCATTAGTAAGTGACTTTGGAAATATAGATGAGGCCAGAAATCTTACCTGTTATTACTTGGAGATTTTATTTCAGCAGTCATAGGCTAGTAACTTTAAAAATTGTACCAGGAAGCTCAATATTTTATAGACATCTCCAATGAAATATTATCTGCTTTGCTATTTTGTACACAGCAAGTTAACATGACATACAATGCAATTAAAATGTTTCAGTCCAATTTCTATTTTTCTTGTACTTTCAAATAGATGTGAATTAAGCAGAAGGCTTCATACATGTTAAAATATGCACATAAGTTAAAAGATTGTCAAAAAGTTAGTAATTTGTATTTTTTAATCTCTTTTTAATCAGTCCAGCGGCCAGGTACAAGTAGATATCTCAGCTAAGTAATTGATATGGTTGTGGGAAGAAGGGCAATCAGAGAGGTTAGCCAACACACTGTTTATTAATCCTATTTCTTTGAACTATAGCTCAAAGAAGGCATCTTTCCTCACCCTTTTAAATGGAGGACATGGAAAGATCTGCAAGAGAGACACCATGAACAGAAGAGTAAGAAAAAAAAGCACCTTCCAAAACCTGGAGGGAGAGGCCCTGGAAGCGACATTGCCATTGGTGACTGTACAGACCCTGCACACTGCTGCCGGTGGTGTGGTGGAGGTGACAGCCAAAAGGCTAGGAAACCTGCCCTTGGAGGGGAGAAAAGGGTGAGCCGAGAATTTTCCTCCAAGGCATTGCGGGAACCCAAACACAGATGTTCTGGCATATAACACCACCTCCCTGTGGACTGCTAGGAAACGACCTAACAAGAGTGCATAAACTACTTTGCTGCTGTGATTTCAAATATAGCTATGAAGCTTTCAGTGCAGAGAGGGAAGGAGAAGTTATCATACCTGAAGAGGAGGGTGAGGAAGGATGTGGGCTGTCCTCCTGGGCACTCCCCGTCTGTGAGAGACCCCCACCTACTCCGCTTTCTTCAGTAATGTTAGAGGACCCTGGTGTTGTCGACCTGCTGACAGACTGTGACTCTTGATCACTTCCAGACCCACGTCGCTCATCAAGACTACCTTGAATTATTTCATCTTCTCCTTTCCTGTCTCTTTTGTGGACCCTGGAGTGAACGACCACTTGGTGGTATGTTCTAAAAACCCTTCCGCAGTCTGGACATTCAGTTGGCTTTTCTTTTACATTTCCATGACTTTGTAAGTTGTACTCAAGTCCCTGGTTCATACCATGCGACAAAAAATCTCTACTGCCTTCTAAAGGGTCTAGTTTGTTTGGCAAGTCTCTCTGATTGCCCATTTTAGTGCTGTGAACCAAATCAGCAGGCATTTTCTGCTTAGAGCCATCTGCTCCTACTAACACATACTCCCGCTTCTCCTTATCAAACATAACTCCAGCATTTGCCAAAGTGTCTTCATGGCTGCGCTGTATCTGCTGCTCTTTAGACAAAAAGCCATGTTCCATGGCCATTCCCCTTGCCATAAGCTGCCAGGCCTGATAGCTGTTTACTGGATCCATCTCTGCTGCTTTGGCGGCAGCTTGTAACCTTTCTATACAGCTGGATTTCAGAGGAGGCACCAGATTGAGACAGCCCAATAAAGAATGTTTATCCCCTTCAGCAATACTGTGGCCAATGCCAGAAATGGGTGAAAGGAGCTTCCCCAAGACTTCTTTCTCTTTCATAGGCATATCTCCTTTGTTATAGATTTGATTTTGTTCACTTAAACTCGCTTTGTCGGGAGGAAGAAACCCACTCTGCAAACATGACAGGTATCTCGAATATAAGTTTGCATGAGCTTCCTGGGACATGCTGCTGATGGAGACAGGTACTTCAGGATCATTAGGAGATTTGTTCTTTACAGATAACTTATTCAGGTGAACTTTCATGTGATTTTTAAGAAACCAAGGCTCTTTGAATCGCCTCCCGCAGATCTGACAGCAGTGTTCAAAGGAATCCTTGTGCTTTCTCATGTGGCCTTTTAGGAACCAGGCTTGGCTAAACACTTGGCCGCACACTTCACAACGAAACTCGTTGGTGGATTGCTCCCCATTCCCATTGGAGCCCTGGCCCTGTGCTGACTCTGCAGTTATGTGAGCCTTCTCCACGTGGCTAATCAGCTCCTCCTCCTGCGAGGCGGCAAAGTCACACAGAGTGCACTTGTAAGGCTTGTGCAGGATCCTTATGTGCCTGTCCAGCTCTTCTCGCTTCTTAAACTTGCCTTTGCAAAACGTGCACCTGAACCCAGCTGTCTGAGCGACAACTTCTTCCTGGACACTGACTGGCTTTGGAGAGGGAACGGGGTTTGAAATATCAGGTGTGCTGTGATTAGCCGGCACAGACAAGTTACAGTTTGCGAGAGGCATTGGCTGGGTGTGCTGCTGTGCTTTCACATCAGGTCGTGGCTGCAAGAGGCTGCTCTTCATCTGTTTGTCCCGAAGAATTGCTCTCTCCTCCAGCTCATGTAAAAGTCTGTTTTCTTCTCGGACTCTCCCACGACCTTTGCCAAGGTTTCCAAGCTTATGAGTACGCAGGTGTATCTTCAGGTTGCCTTTCTGAGCTGCTCTGTGGTCACAGTATGGACACTTAAATGGTTTCTCTCCAGTATGAGTTCGCATGTGTAGCGACAGGATGCTGTTAAATCGAAAGCGTTTCCCACAGAGGGGACATGGGTACTTTCTGTTTTTCCTGGCATCATCCTCTATATCACTCATCTGAGACATAATCCCTAGGTTTTGTCCATTTAAGAACTGCTGCAGATCCACGCGCCCATTCAAACTGGTGTCAACCTCTCTGTTGAGCTGGTTTGCCAACAGTGCCATCTGACTGCTGATGGGCTGGTTTGCTATGGACATGTGGCTTTTGTCTTCTAGCGGTGCCGACGCCTTCTCCTCTGGATTCTGCCTGTTCTGGAGCTCTGGGAAGGCATGGCTGAGCTGGGAAGTGATCTGGTGCAGCTTCTGGCTCATTGAATACTGCCCATTGAGTATGGTGCTATTGAGATGGGTGTCAGCTTCTGGCACAGCTGAAGAAACACCAAGGCACAAACTAGCTTCCTCCATCTCTGAAAATCAGAAGATATTTTAGATTCAGACTGTGAAAGAGTTACAAGCATCGAATCACTGACGTACAATTTGCATTTTATGTTTTACCTACTCATAACAATGCAAAGGAATTAGTGTAAAAACAATAAAAAGTGTATTAAATGCCAACTGTGCTACACAATTTTGACCATACGTGAGCTTTCATCATTCTGCATGTTTACCAATAACCATTAATTACTATTTTAAAATATGCTACAATTTCAAAATCTAATTATTACAGAAGGGGCAAAGGCTTTTACTACCTCCCTTGTTTCTCTTCTTGTGAAATTGCACCTGTTTACATTTCTAAATCTATAGAAAAAGAAATGTTATGCATCTCTCCCATTTCCATTACAAAAGCCAGCAAAAAAAAAAAAAAAAAATAGAAATCCATTTGTAACTTTCAGTTCCATTAACCATATTCAATATATTACACATTCTACAATGAGAAAGATGGTTTTATGATTTGACGAAAAAACGATGGTATGATATTTACTGGTGTACAATAAAACAAGATAATGTTTTGGGAAAAAATAAAGTAAAGGACAAGCTTTAGAACAATAAAAGGGATTTTGCTTTAGTCAACAAAAAGTGCAGTAATATCTCATTAAGCTGATTAGTATGCTGCTTAGAAACAGTACTAGGTGCTGTAACACATGATTATAATCATAAAAATCCTTCAGTGTTTGCAAGTAAGCATTAACGAGGTATATTAAATTTTAAGGAGACTGCGACTAGCAGCTATGTAAACCTCTGAGATTAAGATTTAAGATTTAACCCTTCTGCTACAAAACATTGTTATTTTGTCATTTTGAAACTGAGCCCATCAAAAGGCACATAAATTATCTTCTGCAAAGTCTTAATTCATCGTTGAGAACCTTCAGATTTCAGTTCTTAGGAAAACTTGCCAGATTATAGAAGGAATATCTCTGTCCTTCGATGGGTAAGACGTGATTTAAGGCACTTTGATTTGTTTTAAAGAGCTCTCTTATGGAACTAGATAAAACCAATTAAAATCTGGGGAAGGTGTTGTGGAAAGCCTCAACAAATTTAAGAATTTTAATAACTTTCCTAATACACGTTAATGACTACAAATTGTACCTACACTATGTATATTGCAGAAAATTAGAATTCAAAGCTGTTTGTTAAACACAAGTGCTCTGTTCTGGTCTGCATAATTGTCCACAATAATCTTCTATCCTTGCCACTTCTCTACTCTATGCAGAAATAATGTATCTATAAAATTCTATTTAAAATATAAAGTTTTGCATTAATAACCTCAAACTATATGATGCTATAAGGTTATATTAGAACATAATTAAGATCTGTGTTGTTCAGTGGAGTGATTTGACACTTTATTCACTAATAAAATTACTGAATTCTATACATTATTGAATAATTCATTTGGTCAACTTTCTGTTTGGCTTTAGCCAAAAGCCTTTACTCGCTATGCCTTCTACAAAGGCTGCAGGCACACTCCAGGTGGACACTATTCCTCACACAGCTTCATAGTGGCCACGTGCTAGACAATTTGAGGCCCAAATCTAGTATGTACTTAAAATGCATGTAATCGTGCTCATGGGAGTAGTCCAGTAGGCTTCAGAGGGTGACTCGTGAAAGCAAAGTTCCACACATGCTTAAGTATTTGCAGGATCAGGGCCTAAAAAAGAAAGCATGGGTGTCTCCAAGAGGAGACCTATTTGGTTCTCAACAGGATGACTGAGGTTGTGATACAACACAGATCTTGTAAGAAGCTAAAGGGGGAAGTGCATACTCATGTGTATTAATGATGAACGTGAGCTACAAAATTTTGCTTAGATGTAATGAAGATTTTTCAAAGTTTAACAGTGCTCAGATTCAGGTTTCATTTTGGGGACCCATTACTTACATCCTGTCAATGTTGTTATTTATAAAAATATTGATGAGATCAAGTATATAAAAGGAAAAGGCTTTTATACCTATAAGCTATAGGACTGCACTTAAGTTTAGCTTGCAGTGTCTAATTTGCGAAGGTAGGGGAACATAGTCAAGCGAGATGTACACCCAAGGCCATGTAGCAAACAAAATTTTTGGGTTTCATGAAAGTTTTCTGTGCAGCAGACCACAATCATTCAAAATGTGGGTACATACAAACACATTTTTTTAACATTTTTGAAAGTTTGCTTAACTTTTGAAACAAACCAAATTTCATGTTCAAAAGGATTAGCTTAACATCTGAGGGTTGTCGTGCTTAGGCCTGCCACTACCTGAAGTTGACTGAGATTTTGAATATCTGCCTACCCACTTCCTAAAAATAAATTAAAAAAAAACAAAAACAAAACAAAACAAACAAAAAAAACCAAACAAAAACCAGAATCCACTTTCTGTCTGGATTCCACATACCACAGGTATTATTTCTCCTTACCATGTTTAAACAAGGCATGTTGGCAAACAAGAACATAAAAATTCAAGAAATGCATTGCATGTACAGACACATACATATATTGAAGAGGGTTTAAAAAAGTCTTTGTGAATTGTCATTATTCTGTAACAGCTTAAAATGCAGTCTAAATTTCATTTATTCAGTTGACCTCAATGGGAACTGGTGCCTTTACATGCTCAGGAAGGTTTGGGTAGTTAATTTTAGCATTTTATGCTCTATTGAAGTTTGGAAATGCTGACAGATCCCAGTGGAGTTTATTAATTCTGATGTTTAACCCTAAGCATCAGTTCAAATGTATGGTTATTTGGATTGGGGAGGGGAGAGGGAGTTGTGGTTCAGATTTTAAGTTATTCTGTGGCTCTTTTTCAAAGATAACTTTAATAAAGTAACAACAGCAGTTATAGTTGGAACGTAATTTTTTCTAATTTTGTTTTTTTGCTATTTTCTGTCTCCCACAAACATACAGACACATATAATGTAGAATATAGATAGGATGAGCTGGAAAAAAAAAATCAAGAGGAAGACCAAACCCATAATTTTTCATTTAAAAACTAATAATTTTGGATCAAGTCTGGGGAGCCTGACCCACGCACATTGATCTTTTGGCATTGGAAATGTTATACATTTTTGATGAAATATGCAGAAAGGTCAGCAAAGCCTCTGCTTAGTGAGAAATAACCACCTGTAAATGCCGCATATTATGATCAGCTGTTCAGTTTCTAGGATCCAGCTACCACAATCTCAAGATGCTACAGTTCTTCACTTAAACTGTATTCCCTCCCTCACCTGCCCCAGCTTCTTGGAGTCCTGTCTCCTGCCTCTGGCTCCGAATTGTCTCTTCTTTTCCTCACTCCTATGTGGTTTCATTGCAAAGTATAATCCTGGCATTCAAAGTACTGCCATGTGAAATTATCTCTCCTGCAATTCCCGGTTAGTGCATTTAGGAACACAGGGACCATGCTCTCATGTAAATCAGACTCTCAGTATTCTTCAGCCCATTCACAGAAAAACCTACCAAAATCTCATCTTGTATCCACATGCAAGACAGAAATAAAACTCCTCCTCATCCATCATTCCACTATGAATTAGATAACCCAATCTAATTTACCTAATTTCTCTAAAAAAAATTAGCAATGTCATTCTCTCCCTCTTTATCTATCATCCCGGTCTAGATCTATGACCAGATAGGGTTACACCGGTGGGGTAAGGGGCTTTCATTCCCCTGTGAGCCTCTTGCTTTAGGCCTGGCAGGTCAAGGTCCCCAGCTTGGTGTCACGGTGGTCATTGCACAGCCTCTTCCCATCAGCTAGGACCCTTTCTCAGGGTCCGGCTTCTCTCCACCACACCCAAGAGGTGCAGGGGTGCTTCTGTATCACAGACATGCTCACAGCCATGCAGTTGTCCTGCCTCCACATGAATCTCTCTATAGAGGCAACCGTCCTCCTCAAACTGGCCTGATGTGCAATTTTACCGTATCCATTCTGCCCCAAAAACCAAATGCTAAACACACTAAAAAAACCTCATGTGAACGGAACTCATTGAAATTTACCTTTTAACAGATAACCAGTTTGTAATTCCAAGTGTTTTGACAAATAGTTTTCTCAACATCTTTCTTCATTATGTCCTGCCCTTCTCGCCTCCCCAAACCAAAACACTAGGTATTCAAAACTAAAAAATCTGGAAATGCCAATTTATAAGTGCTGATGTGATTCTTCACGGGAGGGAAAATTTCTAGCTTTCAATTTTTAAATATATAGTCTCTTACATTGTTTTCATTATTCTGATCCCTCTTGTAAGGAAAACACAGAACGTTTTGCCACCACACGCACCGTGAACAGAAGCACAATGTTCTCTGCAGTTAACATATGTTTACAAAATCAACTGCAAATCAAATTTGAGATTGTTAAGAAATTTAAAATATGTTTGTTGAAATTTACATAGTAAATTTTTGACCTTTAATTATCTCAAATGTTTTGTAAAGACACTGTCCCCCAAGACATGGCACTGTACAGAGCATGTTGGTATCAGTTGTTGTTCACGGGCTGCCCTTCCTAACCTAAACAAACCCTCAGCTCTTGCCCAGGCGAGCCGCTCCAGCCAGAAAGCCCAATCCTCACCCTGCTACAGACACACAGGCTACAAATTGACTTGGTTTATACTGCACAGAGCAGGGCAGGAGCAGCCCCTCAGTAAGAAGCAAACAAACCATCAGAGGACAGCCATTTACCGTGTCGGGTGTGCAGTTTCCTATTTCTGTGAGGAGGGTACTCAGCGTATGAAATTCACAACTGGATACATATATTATAAAAATACTCTCTCATCTCCCACATGAAGGTACAGTGAGACATTCAAGTCCCTTTGATGATACTAATAGTTATTTTGATTTCACTCACATTTTTGCCCTCAAGACTATTTCCTGTGATATCAATAACGAAAGTTCTGACTTTAGCCATTTCAATTGAACACACAGATTTTATTTAACTATTTGAAATGGATTACTGGAATTTAAAACCAATTATGACACCAGAAATGCCTGTCATCACAACTACATTAATGTAA